TGCCCTTGGAGCGAGGCTTCCAGTTCCTCAGCGTGGGGTTTTCCTACCCCCCCCCCGTGTCCGTGTTGGTTTCGGGTCTACCCCTCCCCCGGGTGTCCCTTCGTGTCCCTTCGTTTCCGTAGGTTCCGTCATTCCTGTCGGTGCTTTTCACCGAATTCTTACCTTTTTTTTTTGGACATGTGCTTTTCTCCATGTCGTGATCATGTTCACTTCATATCGGGATCCCTGCATGACCCTTTGTCAAAGGTGCCATTGGGCCCATATGTGCCTCCGTACATTTGTGCTTGCTTCTTACGATTCTCGAGGGTTCGCGAAACTCTTCGATACTTCCAATATTACATGAACTTCTGTTGACTTCCGGTGAAGGCTTCCCTCCAGTCCTTTCTCAGACTTGTTGGTCCTCCTCCATACTCCTTTTCTTCTTTCTGTTCTGTTTTCGCGTTATTTTGTATTGATATCGTCTCTCCTTCCGGTCTCGCCATTACTAATTTTCATTATCTACACCTTGCTGCCACCCTCCCCGGATGATGGGTGTGCATCTCGGACCTCAGGCGCAGGGGCAGGTTGTTTTGTTTTGGGCGGTGTAATTACCTAAGTGTAGTTACAAGATGAGAGCTATGCTCGTGGTGTCCCGTCTTCCCAGCACTCTTTGTTATATAATGCTTTGAAACTACTGACAGATTTAGCCTCCATAACCTTCTCACCTCTCTTCTTTTTTTAGTGAGTATAATTGGACAGACTTGATGCTAGGCAAGGAAGTGAATGAGATGTATGTCAAGTTTTGTGAAATATATGATAAAGGCACAAAAAAATTTATACCAAAACAGAGATGCAGAACTAGGAAACAGGATTGGTTCAATAGAAATTGCGAGAGGGCTAGAGACCAAAAGACACAAAAATGGAATCAATACAGGAAGAGGCCGAACCCCCAAACATACCAGCGATACAAAGATGCGAGAAACAACTACACGGCAGTGAGGAGAGAGGCAGAAAGAAATTTTGAAAAAGGGATTGCAGACAAATGTAAAACATAACCAGGTCTATTCTATAAATTCATAAACAACAAATTGCAGGTAAAGGATAATATTCAGAGGTTGAAAATGGGAAATAGATTCACAGAAGATGAAAAGGAAATGTGTGAAACATGAAATGAAAAGTTCCAAAGTGTGTTTGTACAAAATGAAATCTTCAGAGAACCTGACACAATAAGAATTCCAGAGAACAACATAGAGCGGATAGAGGTGTCTAGAGATGAAGTGGAAAATATGCTAAAGGAGCTCGGTAAGAACAAAGCAGCTGGCCCAGATGGCGTTTCACCATAGGTTCTGAGAGAATGTGCATCTGAGCTCAGCATTCCACTTCACCTGATCTTTCAGGCATTCCTGTGTACAGGAATCGTAGCAGATGTGTGGAAACAGGCTAACATAGTTCCAATCTACAAAAGTGGCAGCAGGGAAGACCCCCTCAATTATAGACCTGTATCATTGACAAGTGCAATAGTGAAAGTATTGGAAAAACTAATCAAAACTAAATGGGTAGAACACCTGGAGAGAAATGATATAATATCAGACAGACAGTATGGTTTTCGATCTGGAAGATCCTGTGTATTGAATTTACTCAGTTTCTATGATCGAGCCACAGAGATATTACAGGAAAGAGATGGTTGGGTTGACTGCATCTATCTGGACCTAAAAAAGGCTTTCGACAGAGTTCCACATAAGAGGTTGTTCTGGAAACTGGAAAATATTGGAGGGGTGACAGGTAAGCTTCTATCATGGATGAAAAATTTTCTGACTGATAGAAAAATGAGGGCAGTAATCAGAGGCAATGTATCGGAATGGAGAAATGTCACAAGTGGAGTACCACAGGGTTCAGTTCTTGCACCAGTGATGTTTATTGTGTACATAAATGATCTACCAGTTGGTATACAGAATTATATGAACATGTTTGCTGATGATGCTAAGATAATAGGAAGGATAAGAAATTTAGATGATTGTCATGCCCTTCAAGAAGACCTGGACAAAATAAGTATATGGAGCACCACCTGGCAAATGGAATTTAATGTTAATAAATGTCATGTTATGGAATGTGGAATAGGAGAACATAGACCCATAGACATAGAGAACCATAGACAACCTATATATTATGTGAGAAATCTTTAAAGAATTCTGATAAAGAAAGAGATCTAGGGGTGGTTCTAGATAGAAAACTATCACCTGAGGACCACATAAAGAATATTGTGCAAGGAGCCTATGCTATGCTTTCTAACTTCAGAATTGCATTTAAATACATGGATGGCGATATTCTAAAGAAATTGTTCATGACTTTTGTTAGGCCAAAGCTAGAATATGCAGCTGTTGTGTGGTGCCCATATCTTAAGAAGCACATCAACAAACTGGAAAAGGTGCAAAGACATGCTACGAAGTGGCTCCCAGAACTGAAGGGCAAGAGCTACGAGGAGAGGTTGGAAGCATTAAACATGCCAAAACTAGAAGACAGAAGAAAAAGAGGTGATATGATCACTACATACAAAATAGTAACAGGAATTGATAAAATCGACAGGGAAGATTTCCTGAGACCTGGCACTTCAAGAACAAGAGGTCATAGATTTAAACTAGCTAAACACAGATGCCGAAGAAATATAAGAAAATTCACCTTCGCAAATAGAGTGGTAGACGGTTGGAACAAGTTAAGTGAGAAGGTGGTGGAGGCCAAGACCGTCAGTAGTTTCAAAGCGTTATATGACAAAGAGTGCTGGGAAGACGGGACACCACGAGCGTAGCTCTCATCCTGTAACTACACTTAGGTAATTACACAGGCCGACGAAACTAGCAGTTACAAAATTCACACACAACACATCAAGAAATATGATAATGCAGCAAAATACCATACAATAAACTAGAATATACATTTATATAATGATATGTCAAATACTGTAGAATGAATTACTTTGTAATAGAGGTAGCTTGACACTTAAAGGTATGACATCAGCATATCCAGTCTGAACTGGTTACGCTGGGTCATAAAAGTCAGGGATCTAGTTCTTTCCCAGCCTGCTGGGTTTGGGTTCCTGGTAAATTGGTGGAAGTCCCAGTTGGTTCCATCCCAGGTACGGAATTGGCTGGGCCTCGTGTGGTATTCTCGGATTGCGTCTGTTTCTCTCCCTACTATGGCCTTGCTCCAATTGCAATCTCGCCTTCAGCTGTTTTTGAGGGGGACCTGGGTCCCTCAGCAATTGCTTGAGCAGCTGTGCTGGAGCCTAAACTTTGCTCTGCTGGTTTATCCGCCGGGCAGGGTTTGGCTTTGGAGGCTGTTCTGGTATCTTCGGAGCGGCCTCTTTCACCGCTTTCGCGATCGTTGAGTTTGTTCCCTGGTGTCCTTGCGTTGGTTGCTGTCTCACCAGCTTCCTCTTTGGGTTTTTCGGGGTTCGGTGCCATGGCACCTTCCCCTTCTCTCGCTCGATGTGTTCACGGATGCCTTGTCTCTCTCTCGGGGCTTTGTGACCAGCGATCACCAGGTCAGCCAGGAACATTGGGAACCATCTTTCCTTCAGGCTCACAGCACGGAGCGGTAGTTGACTGCTGTGTGGCAGGCGCTGCGGCAGATTCGGATTCCTTAGGGTTCTGTGATATGGCTCCATTCAGACTGCTCCCCATTCGGCTTCCTCGGGACTTTGTGATCCGGCCCCATTTGAACTGCTACCCGGTGGTTCATTGTCTCAACCAAGAAGGTAGGGGGAGGGGAAGCGAGTCTCTTTGGTCCATGGCTCTTTGGAGCTGGTCACTTTGAGTGGCTCATCTACTGAGTTCTCAGGGTTCAGCTCTCCACACACCATTCATATTCAGGGAGTGTCCAACATCCTGGCAATGGCCTGTTATGCTTCATTCCTCTTTCCTCGAAGTGGACGATCAACACCACTTCCTTCCTTTGACTTTGTCGCACGTACGGGCATCCAGAGGCAGACCTCTTAGCGTCAGCGTGGTCTTGGCATCTCCCGTTATACGTGGTGTCATTCCCCGACTATGAGGCCCTTGCGGTGGACTCTTTTCGGCAGGAGTAGTCGTGGTGGGGGGTTCCTGTACCTCTTTTTCCCGGTCTAGTTGTTGCTCCAGGTTCTGGCTTGGCTGGAATCCTATCGGAAAAGAGTGATTCTCTTGGACCCATGATAGCTGGCCCAACCTTGGTTTCAGGCACTGCTTGCTCGGTGTCCGAACCATAGAGTTTTTCTCCGGCTCCACCTCTTTCAGCAGGTCAGGCCGGTAGGGTACCTCTCAGGTTCGATTTACTCTTTCGCTCTTCATGTCTGGTTTTTCTGACGCGGGTGTATCACCATTTGTATGGTGATCAGGTGGCTTCTTTGATGATGTCCCACCTGCGGTCTTCATCTTGGCGAATGTATGAAGTTTCAAGGCAGTCTCTATGCCATTTCCTTTCCCTTCGTAAGGTTTTGTCAGTGTCGAACAGGTTGGGTTTGTCCTTTTTCTCTGGACTTTTTCTGGAATGGTGTCTCAGGATGAATACTGTCACTTTTTATTGTGCGGCATTGGCGGAGCCGCTGCAGCTTGCGTTCAGGGTGGATGTCACCTCCATTCCATTCCGCCAGCTCTCTCGTGCATTTTTCATTTCCAGCCTACTCATGCACTGCCCGAGCCGTTGTGGTCTTTGGACCGAGTTCTTTCCTTTCTTTCTTCTCCTCGGTTTGTCATGACCCCTTCGGTTCGTGATTACTTTGGGAAAGCCTTGTTTTTGTTGGCTTTGGCTTCTGGGGGTCGGGTTGGGGAGCTTCATGCTCTTCTCCGGCGTTTCATTTAATTCAACACTGGGTTTTTCTGTCTCCCAATTTAGGCATGCCCAGATCCATTAATTATTCCTTGTAGCTTATATTTCTTAAATTTGTACAGTACAGTTAATTTATTTTGTTGCAAGCTTGATTTTTTATTCGTATATAACTTTCTTATGTCACTTCTATTTTGCCTAAAAATGTTTGCTTGTTTTTTCAGGGAGAAACAGTCAATGGAATTTTTCAGTGGAGTGGAAGAGAAAAGTTAACGAAGTACGAAATGGTATTGATTATGTCGGAGGTGTTCTCTCTTCCCCATGACCACATTACACCAAGTTACACTCCTGGAGAACTCAGGCCCTATGACCCTGAAATGGATGTATCCCGCTTGGTTGATTTAGGAATATCTCATCACACCAGATTTGAAGATGGAATTAAAGAATGTTTATCTCCTTGGTTGTAATGACATTTATGGTATCGACTGAAGAAAGTTATAAATTTCCTTCATGCATATTGCCATACACAAATATTCAATCATACTACGACTTTCCTTTCACCCACATTTTATAACATTTATATTATGTTAATTTACTAAAAACAAGTCTTTCATTAGCATTTAAAGAACATAGCCAATGTTAGGAATAAAATCAATATGCTGGAGATTCAAGATACATTTGTGGTCCTGATAATTTCAAGAGAGTGCAGTATTCCTCCTCACCTTCCTTGCAAGATACATTCATGGCCACGTGATAAGTTCAGGAGAGTGCAGCATTCCTTGACACATCCTTGCAAGAGACTGTGCCTTTGTGGCCCTGATAAATGCAACATCCCACTGCACTTATCTTACAAGATACATTTGTGGCTCTGATAAGTTAGGGGAGTCCAGCATCCCTCCCACATTCCTCTCCAACTTGAACTATTTTGCCTATTTTCTATTTTACTTAACTGTTTTCATTTCATGTAAGCAATGGGGTGGTTCACAAGTGAAATTTCTCCTTATCCATAAAATAGTAGATAATTTAAGTAAAAGCAATTTCAGTTTTTATGAAATATAATGATTATTTAGATATATGATTAACATGGTTTGTAAACATGAATAAATTGCTATTATAAAATGGTGTATTATACAGGTGTTCTGTGAATAAATTAGTGGTACCTCCACTTACGAGTTTAATCCGTTGCCAGAGACGGGTCATAACTCAAAAATTTGTAACTTAAACGAATTTTCCCATAAGAAATATTATAAATTGAATTAATCCATTCCACACCCCCAAAAATATTAACTTAAAAATACATTTTATACCAAATACCACTCTTTTCTGGGGGGAGCCCTGTCGGCTCCCCGGAGCTATCCCAGGCTGATATGCTAATGTCAGACTTTGGCATCAGTCATGTGTATGGAGTTCTTAGGCCTACCGGGACCACGGCCAGAACCGGGCCCCCTCAGAGAGGCAAGGGGAGCAATGGCCTATAGAAGCCCCCGTGTTAGTGGAAGCATTCTATGTCTGCCATCGACCGGAACAGGCACCCAGAAAGGTAAGCGCCCCAAAACAAACCCCTATTCTGGTTAAAATTGCTACCTAAAACCGAACTAGTGGATAGAACTCCCCAACCCAAAACAAGCAAACTAGTGTGACGTCACACACTGCCGCGCCGCTGTCTGCGCAGCTCCCCCCTCCCCGGGAGGGGGAAGGGGGAGCCCCAGACCCCCCCGCGCCGGCTACCCACACCTCAGTTCTTGAGGCTGATGCTATAGGCGATGGTCGTGTGCTCTGGCTCCGGTGTCGCTACTGCACTGTGCTTTGCGTGTGGTGTTAGTTTTGTGGGTGCGAGAGCCAGGAGTTATCTTCAGTACTCGGGCTGCATGCGCCTAGGGCTGCCTTCCCTAGGTGCCCTGTAAGTACTGCCCTTGGGCTTGGGGCCACCTTCCACAGGCTCCTCGGGGTCTGCCTCTGCTGGTCCGTTTTACCTTTCGGTTTTTTCGGCCGCCTGTTGGGCTCTTGGGTGTTCTGTTCTCCCTTGTTACCGGCAGGTAAGAGGCAGTTTGCACTGGTAAGGGCGCAGGGTGCTGCTCAGCTTGTATTTCCCGACATCGCGGCCGGCTCTGTTCCTTGGGGTTCGCTGTCCTCTTGCGGGGTTTTGTTTTTCTTTTTGTTTTTGCCTGGTGGGGGTTCTGTCATTTTATTCAGTTTGTTTTTGCCCTTCCACTGTTCTCATCGGTGGCGCCCCCTGCTAGGTCCCCGTGAGTGTACACGTCCCTGGGGTTCACCTTTAGAGGCATTCGAGTCTTGTCTCCCGGCCGAAGCTTCAGGGTCTGACCAGTGGGCCCCTCTTCCTCCAGCTTTTCTGGCTGCTCCGTCCTTGTCTTGTGGGGTCGGGGCTTGGGGAGAGGACTCGGCCTCGGGTCCTGTGGTGACGGACCTCGAGGCTGGGGAGGGGCTGCCTTGGGGGCCTTGGGCCCCGCTGGACCCCGCCTGGGTTTTTCTTCCCACTGAGCGGGGCTTATTGTTACAAGGAGTGGGGTTTTCTTTCCCCCCCTCTGCGTACGAGTTGGATTTGGTGTAGGCCCCTCCCCGGGTACGGTTCCGTGTTCCCCCGGGTACGTCGGTTCCGTCCTTCCGAAGGTTTTCGGCTTATCGCATCCAACCTGGTGTGGTGCGAGCGGCCTTTGCAGCTTACCTCCTGCGTGACCCGGATTATGCCTCGGAAATGGATCCATCCACGTTCAGGTTGGGGACTTCGTTCCCTTTCTGGCTCTGTTACGAGGTTCCGGAGTCGTCCTGGCTAGCAGACTGCCCCTTGTTTGGTCTGGATTCCTGGCATTCCTTCTGTCGTTCCCGCACGCTGGAGTGGCGGGAAGCTTCCACGGTGCTTCAGGTTTTCCTGGGGGTGAACTTGAGTACCTGAATGAGTGCTTGTTTGCCCCTGCCCTTCCCCGCGATGTGGGCGTTATTCAGCTCCATGTGCAGGTTCCCTCCCTTTCGGCGGCGCTCGTGGCGGAGGACTTGCGCGCATCGGGGCCTTTTGTGTTCGGCCTTGCGGTTCTTTTCCCTCCTGGAGCTGTCTTCGGATTGGCTCGTGGAGGATGTGGGGACGCTTGGGTCCGTCCCGGGGTCCGGCACCTTGTCCTCGGCTGCGCGTTCGTCGGCTGCCTTGTTGAAGCTGTTCACGCCGATTTTGCGGGATGCGGTTTCCCTGTTCTATGCTTCCCGTCTCGCGTGTCGGCAGGCGGTGCTGGGTCCCTCCATGGGATCTGCTTGGGCTCTGGCTCTTAGGCGTTCTTCGCCTTTTTGTCCTCTCCTGTTTGGGGAGTCGGCCGTGGCGCAGTTTATTCAGGCTGCGTCGGCGGCTTGTCGTCCGATGTCGGACTTGTTGGTTTTCCGGGGTCCCGGGGTGGGTCTTCCCGGAAAGGTCGTGCCAGGGCTCGGGGTTCCTCTCGTCGTGGTAGGCCTCTGGTGTCAGGTTTGGGGTTGGCTCCTCCTGCGGACCCTCCCTCGTCTGGTCGGCGCGGTGTTCGCGCTGTGCGGGGTTCTGGGTCTCGTAGGGGTCGCCGGCCCTTTCGCGGTTTGCCCCTTTGACGGGGCGATGGGGGGGCGGCTTGCGCTGTTCGCCCGCGCCTGGTCCCACGATTCGTGGGCCTTTCGGGTCGTGTCTCGCGGCCTGCGGTGGCGTTGGGTGGCCCCTCCCCTCTTTGGGGGTCGGGGCTGGCAGGGCAGGCTTCTTCCCCTGCGCTCTGTCGAGTCGTCTTGGAGTGGGTACGCTTGGGCGTCGTCGAAACGACGTCGTCCCTCAGATGGGTTTCCCGTCTGTTTCCGGTTCCGAAACGGGACTGCGCGGACCTGCGGTTCATTCTGGACTTGTCCCGTCTGAACCCCTGGGTTCATTGCCCCTCCTTTCGGATGACTACACTGTCTCAGGTTCGGCTCCTCTTGGAGCCGGGAGCTTGGATGGTGTCCCTGGACCTCCGGGACGCTTATTGGCATGTCCCGATTCATCCGCGGTTCAGGGACTGGCTTGGTTTTGTAGTGGGGCGTCTGAGTTACCGCTTTCGTTGTCTCCCGTTCGGGTTGAACCTGGCATCTCGCGTGTTCACACGCCTTACACGGGTTGTGGTGGCTCGTTTGCGTCTCCTAGGTGTTCGAGTGTTGGCCTACCTCGACGACTGGCTGGTTTGGGCTCCCAGCCAGTCAGCTTGCTTGCTAGCCAGGGATTTGGTTCTTTCCCAGCTCGCCGGGTTCGGGTTCTTGGTGAACTGGAGGAAGTCCCATCTGGTTCCCTCTCAGGTTCGGACATGGCTGGGTCTCGTGTGGGACTCTCGAACCGCCTCCTTGTCTCTCCCCCTCCGGAGTCTCCTGCGGCTGCGGTCCCGCCTTCGTCTGTTTTCTGGAGGGCCCTCGGGTCACCCGGCGGTTGCTCGAGGGGCTGTGCGGGAGCCTGAACTTCGCGATGGTGGTCTACCCGCCGGGTCGGTTTTGGCTTCAACGGCTGTTCTGGTTCCTTCGGGGTTCCCCCTTCCGCCTCTCTCGCGATCGCAGAGTTCGACCCCCGGGGGACTTGCGTCGGTTGCTGTGTCACCGGTTTCCTCTTCGGGTTTTTCGGGGTTCAGTGCCTTGGCGCCTACCCGAGCCCTCGCTCGATGTGTACACGGATGCGTCGTCTCGGCTGGGGTTTTGTGACCAGTGCTCACCAGGCCGGCCAGGGGCGTTGGGATCCGTCCTTCCGTCGAGCTCACGGTACGGTGCGGGAGTTCGCGGCAGC